GGGGGGGGGGTACATTGGTGGGAAGCGAGATCGGGGAAGGAAAGTCTTTAGGAAAACAAACACTAGTGACTATAATGTTTAAATCTATTTGTTTGCCACATTCCCGTCTTCAGCCAACAGCCTTGTCGCACTTGCATCGAATTCCGGGATACAGTCTATTCCACATATTCTGGACCCCACAAGCAGGGCGGCCGGGCCGAGGTCCCGCCGCGCCCACCCTGTCGAGCCTGGCACAGCATGCCGCACTCTTCACAACATGCAGCTTGACAAACAAAAACAGAAGTGAACGGAAGCGGGTGCATAGCGTTCAGACTACTGGCTAAGGAGGCGTTAGGACACTTGAGAGATGGTCTGTTCAGCTCGAACACCGCACTGACCCACATGAACTTGACTCGGAGGTTGTTTGGCGGAAGGGCAGGAAGATTAGTATGGCGGGAAAGTGGTGGTGGTGGGGAGCGAGTAGGAGGGGGAGTAGGGCTCCCCCTGCATACTTGGAATGCCTTTCATTCGTGCTCATAGCGCGTTTTCGCAGCGGGCGCGCAGGCGGCCAGGGGTGGGGGTTACGGGGCGAGAGGACTGGGGGAAAGGGAAGGGAGGAAGAAAGGAAGGGAGTTAGGAAGGGAAGGAGCCGCCAAGTCAAGTCTGGAATGTTTACTAAAAAAAAGGTATGATAGGAATGACACCAATTCTACAGTATTGTCAAAACAAAAGAAAACAAAGTATAGGTGATCAACTACAAAACTCAACATCTAGATAAGCAAAATTAACTAAAATATAGATAGATATTGATAAACCAAAGTGATTTACAGAAACAGTCTATTGTGATTCATTGTTACAGGTACCTCAAAGTCCTGTTGAATCGTCACCAAGGTTCCGACGCGCGTCAAAAGATTATAAAAAAAGAAAGAAATAAAACACATTATTTTATGCTCTTTTAAAAATGGAATGCATATTTGTCTATGGTTTACGTGCGTTTCTTCTTGTCAAGGACCATCTCAAAAGTTCCTAGGCTTTCCAACGAAAGAGTAGTAATTCAAAAGAAGGAAAATTGGAGATAAGCATCGAATCATGTTGATACCGGCCATCCACGTCTGTGAAATGTACAGACGCGGAATACAAACTTAAACTTAGGATTAAGCAAGAGTTATAGATAAAGTAAAAAAAAGTCTGACAAACAACATACAAATTAATGTGAAGATAAACTGTAAAAGAATGAAATTTAAAGAACAACGTGGATAAAGAATCAAAAAGGGTTGAACTGGAAATAAATAAGGTTGTACTTAATTCAAGATAGGGTAGGGATATGGGCAAAGAATAGCATGCAGAAATGTCAAAGACAGACAACTTGAAATGGGATTAAATAATACTTGAAAAGTAAAAGAAAGCATTAGCTACCGAAGTAAATCTTGAATATTGCTGGCACAGTATGTGAATTCATTTATTGGTATACGTGGCACAACTGTAATATATGTTGGACTACGCATTTGTAAAGGGCTCTGCTCTCTATCTGACAGGTATAAATAGCCACCTCAGATTCATTAAATCGGTGGATTTTACCAAAGTGTACATTTATAAACAAATTTGAGTAAGCACAGGGAAATTCTAAAGAGAGAGAGAGAGAGAGTGTGAGAGAAAAAGGAATATTTTGAGAGGTCCTTGTTCTATACATGATTCTAGACACTACACGCACATCACCAAAACATCCATTGAGACCTATTCGGGTTTTGGCCACTACAGTTAACTTAAAATATGATTTGGTCAAACATCAAAGAAGATCTGTAGTACAAAGTCCGACTGCAAGTTTTGTTATCAATGACCTTGGATGTCTCTGCACGTTCGCACCGGGGCCATCATCGTGTTCTGTATTATGACCTCCCCCCACAATAACGTCGGTACGGTTGGTCATTCAAAATAAAAATAAAACGGTCAAGCCGAGGAGGAGATCACAGGACCTGAACACAATATCACGAGTGACCTCCTGTAAGGTCACATATAGGGTCGCTCCCGGCCACACCGGTGCAAACGCGTTTATATGTGACAGCTTTTTCAATTTGATTTTCTCTGGTCTTTACAATGCTTTATTTTTTGATCTGGGTGGATTAGTACAGCTAATTAATGTTCTGCGCGTAATATTGTAAATGGGGATTAGAGGTCTCAATGCATGTTTTTTCTTAATTATTTAACAGATCGGCTGAACTGCCTATGGGTGGGTAATGACAATTTTACGTCCCTTGAAGAGATTGAACCTGAGCCAGATATAGCTAACAACTTTGAGCTTATTGCATGAAGTGCAAGATTAAGAAAGATGGATTACGAAAATTGATTACTAAAGCGCCAAGCCAAGGCGTTGGCCGTGAATCTCCAAATAATCTACAAGAAATCAGCAGATTGACGTAGGAATTGTCTTTTTAAGAGTCTGAGGCCCTTAAAGCAAAGTTAAATGCAACCCGAATATAAGAACGTAACCGACAACCCCGTGACCTTCTGGTCTCTAAAATAACGTTGGGGCGCACGCTTTGCTGCCAAGTGCCTCAGACTTGCCGCGCCGGGTGCCCCATCAAAAATACTGTTCCGTTAACTTCATTGACCAAACGCGTGCATTGCGCCGTGGAAACATTACCAGTATATATTTCCCAGGTCGAAAGATATTGCCATTCATAACGGGCTCGTGATGCTTCGACACCCGGCGCGGTCGGCCCCCCCGCTAAGCACAGTACTATCGCCGGACGAGGCGCGGCGGCGCGGCTGTTGGACTTCCCCGGCCCGCGCCAGCGCCGCCGCGCCCCCTGCAGGGGCCCTGCTCGGCGAGCCGCTCGGCGAGGCAGAGAGGAAGACAACACGGCTGGTCGTACGCACCTTGCTGTGAGCAAAGAGGAGCCCGATGCCCTCCATGCAGACTTGTAAGAGGCCCCCCTCCCCGGTGGCCATATCTTGTACGGGGAACTCTCCCCCCAGTTCAGCGCCGGAGGCCGCGCCGTGGCCGCGCGCCGCGGCTGCCTCCATCGCGCTCTTGATGCAGTAGTACAACTCCTTGCACTGCAACATGACAGACGTCTCAACACTCCTCGTGTCGTCTAAATCGACCCCCTTTCCTTCCCCGACGAACGGGCATATACGTACCTTCTTGGTGTAGTACTTGTGGAGCTGCGTCTGGCCGCCGTTCCTCGTCCAGACGCAGAGGACCTTGGTCTTGGGGCTGTAGGTCATGTTGACGACGCGCTCGTACCACCAGCGCTCCACGATGATGCCCATGATGGAGCGCAGCACGATGCCGTCGTCGCGCACCTCCATGAACATCATGTTGCCCGTCGCGTCCGGGCCCATGTGCACCGTGAACGACTGGCGGTGCGCGCGCCGCGAGCCCAGCGGCCGCAAGTCGATGTCGTTCCCATGCTAAAGGAATTTTGTTTTTTTTTTGTTGAAAATGTAAATTTTGTACAGGTAGCTTAATTTTGATGCGCGACTGTGGATGCGTACCAGCGTGTCCACCCTGTCCAGCAGGTTGTTGACCTCCTGGCTGTACACGAGCCCGATGTGGCTCTTGCCCAGGAGGCGCCGGACCTTGCGCTTGAGCTCGTTCTTGTCCACCGTCGTCATGACCATGATGGCCACCAGGTTGTTGAGCATGTGCGACAGCAGGCGGTCCTCCTCGTGCTCCAGGCGCTTGCGCTCCGACTCGCTCAGCTGGTTGTAGCGCTCCATCATCTCCCCGGGGCCCTGGTCCATGCCCACCATGTCCCGCTCCTGGGACACGGCGTCGAGGAACGCGTCCTCCCAGAACTGCATGTGGTCCCAAAGCGAGGACCTCTCCTTGCCAATCAGTCCTGCGAGACAAATTGAAATTCTCGCTTGGATACTTTCGCCCATAGCGGCTTTCAGGTGCCCGCACAAATGAACGTTCAATAGTTTTCACGGCTTAGGCCGAGCTTGTGCTTTTGGGCCACGGGCCACGTTGCCACGCTGACGCCGGAGAAGCGCTGGGTAGGCCAACCCGCCGCGCTGTTGTGTGAAGCCGGCGGCCCGCCCCTGTGAGCGCCCCAAATGTGCAAGGAATCGAGTGCGAGAAACACCCCGGACTATAAAACACTCATGTGCGTGGACTATTAGGGATCACCCAGAAAGTATGACGGCCATCCCCCATTACGAAAATGCCAAGTTCAAGCTCTTATACCACCTGGCAGGTAGGCAATTTCTTGTCTGGCGTGCATGCGTGTACTGCGGGGTGGCCTACCCCAAGTTTCGCAGGCGCCGAGCTCCCGTAATTTAACGATTGAGTCCTGAGTAATTTCTCGACCAACCCCTGGCGGAAAGCGGTCGACCGCGCGCGGCTTACCTTCGTAGAGGTAGGTCCTGCCGTGTTCGGGGCTCGGCGTCCCGGAGGGGTTGATGAGGTTGCCGCCCTGGAACCTGAAGGCCGTGCTGAGCGAGGACTTGCTGGACCACACGCTGGGCGCGCGGGGCTTCTGCTGCCGCACCCGCGGGAACTGCAATCCAAGTACGAAACGAGCAATAAGGCACAAAGTCGTCTGCGAGCCCTTCCCAAGCGTGTACCAATAAAGCGTCCCCGTCCACGAGGCACAGCCAGGCGGGCTACAGGAGGAAGAGTCGATTAGAGAAAGAAGTTGCTCCGAAAGGAACTGACTGGGCTTACTGGATCGTCCGCCTATTGCCTCTAATAAATCAACTACGACCCCACAAATCTGACTATAACTAGATGACAGTTGTAACAGCAAAACTAAAATATTACAGTCTAAACTGCAAAACTGCACACTTCAGAACTAAAAAGTGATACAGTTTGACCTGTCTATCCCGCCAGAGAGTTACGCAGAGCGCCTAGGGCAATGACTCTATTTGTAGGAAATACCAAAACGTTGCAATTAGTGAAAAGTGAAATGAGTTCTACACAAACGTCTACGTCTAAGTTTACTCTCCGTCATGTCTACGGTCTCTAATAGCTACTAAGGAGATCCAGCAAGCCCATTCTTGTCGAAGCAGCAGTTAGAAGCGCACGGAACACCAACACCTCGGCACCAAAAATATGAGTTTTCCAGACAACATCTAGATAAACTAGATCGACCTAGACTACGAAGAACACAGCATCGCATCGACACCATCAAGACATAGCGACATAATAAAGATAAAAAGAGAAATGACATAAGCATAAGACCCCAAGTGCAAAAACCCCCGACCACGAGAAACAACACCCGTATACACCCCCAGCCTCAGCAGTGCTACGCAGTCATGCTGCCCGGCGATGCTACACGGCGGCCGCTAGAAGCCCTGGTGCACTCGGTGCAGAGAAGCGACATGACATTAGTAGACTTACGTTGCCCTGTTCGATTTCACTGTCAGACACGGTGCTACGGAACGAGGCCTGTAGCGAGCCGCGCTGCAGGCTGAACACGGGGTTGGTGATGATGGAGCCCGCGTCGGACGCGTTCCCGGACACGGACAGGTCGTGGCCGTGGCCCTGGCCCGACGCCTACAAGCACGGCACCAAGGAGGTCAGCAATGCCGCACACGAGGCTGGACGGGAGGGTTTGGGCGGGGATGGGCAAGGAGAAGGAGACAACAGGACGCAGGAGCTGAGGAGCGGGGACAACCTCGGGCGACTGCGGCGCGGGGCCCGGACTCACCTCAGAGTCGATGGATGACAGCTTGGAGAGGATAGCGTGCTTCTTTTGGCTCAGCATGTCCCGGAACATGTCGGTGGCGGAGGGCGCGCCCTTGTGCTGCTGGGGCGGTTGGACGACGGGCGGCCGGGGTGGCGGCTGCTTGCTGGGGGACTTACTGGCGGGGCTCTCCACCTGGTCCGCGGGGTCGTGGATCAGCCGCACCTCCGGTGGCATGGCGCACGCCTCTGTGGGGGGGAAGCACCACGATGAGACCAGGAAAGCGACGGCCAACTCACTGCGTCGAGAGGAACTCACCGGACACGGAGCTAGTCTGCGAGGATTTCCGTGACGGCACCTGCCCGAAATACTCGGAGTCCGGCGACTTGAGGTTCTCCATGCTGGACGACGTGGTGGTGGCGGTCGTGTCCAGGCCCAGTAGGCCGTCCGTCTCCAGGTCCTTGGTCCAGTAGTGCGTGTGCGCGATCTCCAGGACCTGGAAGGCGGACGCCATCCCGCCCAGGCCGTAGTTGGAGTACGACACCTCCAGCCCGCTGATGACGGCGCCCAACACTTTGAGCATGGCCTTCCACACGGGCCGGCTCACGCACTGCAGCAAAGGACGGCGATCGTCAGCGTCACTCCGCTCATCGAAGAGGGGAGGAGAGGGATCGCTGGGTGACACTCACCACGTCGTCGACCTTGTCCTCCGGGCCGATCTTCTTGTCCAGCGTGCGGTTGAGCTTGCTGAGCACCAGGTTGCGGAAGCTCTCGTCCTCCATCAGTTTCTTGAGGCGGTTGAGCTTCAGCCAGCCCACGCCCTCGCCCTCCAGGACCTGCGTGACCACCTGAAACCGCAGCCCGTCGTCAGCTCGGCATGGCAAGACTTACGAAACAAGAGCGAATAAAGACGACTCCTCTCGACCAAACTTACGTCGTTGAGGAAGGCCTGGCTCTCCTGGTTGTTCGAGGACCTCTCCGACGTTTGCTGCCGCATGATGTCGTCCTGACTCTTCCTCGACGGGCTGTGGCGGATGAGCGAGGAGTTCTCCACCAAACCCTTCCGACCTGAACAGAGTAAGAAAGGTCAGTGCGTCACGTTTTGAAATTCGAAATTTTCCTTAAATGGCTTTACCAAAACTTACCCGTTGGGAAGGGCCCGAAGGGCTGCGTCTTGCCCTTCTGTTGCTGCTGCTGTTGCTGCTGTTGCTGCTGCTGCTGTCCGCCGCCCATGCCCATGCCGCTGGTGATGGCCGCCATGCCCTGCAGCCGGGGTGCGCCCCCACCGCGCCCGCCGCTCTTGTTGCCGAACAGATCGCTGAACATGCTGGTCGTCTGCGCCGCGAAGCCGTTGATGTTGGAGAGGAAGTTTTGGCTCGCGTTGGCGGACCGGCCGGCGAGCGGGTCGGACGCGTGCACGAGCGAGTTCCCCGGGGGCCCGGGGCCCTGCTGGCCGGCCATCGGCCCACCCAGCGGCACCCCCACGCCCGGCGGCAGCAGCCCCTTCTTGGCCGCCACCTCCTTCACGCTTTTGGTGACGTCGCCCAGCGTGCTCTTGCCCACGTAGCTCAGGTCACCCAGGGTGTTGCGGCTCACGTCGGCCATCGACTTCTGCGCCTCGCCCATGGCCTTCTTTGTGGTGATGGTAAGCTGCAAAAAAAGAAGAAAATACGCGGGGGTTGAGGGTAAGGGCCAAAGCAGCCCTCTAAGGGTCGAAGGAGAAAAACAGAACCTCTACAGAGGACACTGACAAAGCGTAAAGCCTTATTACCTGTTCCAGAGGTGCAAACAGACTGGCATCATCAATGGCAACATCGCTAAGCTTCTCCTTGGCCTGCTCTTTGAGCTGGCATCATGCAACAACGGGGAAAAAAAAGAGAAGACACGGGTCAAGAAAGAGACCAAAGAATAGTGAAGATGTCACTGACAGAGGAAAGTCCAGAGCGAGAAAGAGAGAGTGATGATTCATTTTCGAACCGGGTGTCTTAGATCGAACGCTGCAGTGTTGCGGGATTGCATGCTCTCTTGGGCTGAAGGAGCCATGACTCCTAACGCGCGAGGGGAGTGGGAGTAGGCAAAGCCGCAGAACTGCATCGTTCGCTTGGATACACCCGGTACAATGGCATGCTATTTCTTGTGAATCCACCTTTAGGTTCCATGCGTACGACTTTAAAAGGGATAGAGGTTGCAACATTATTTCCATTCGAAACCCCAAGACACAAGTTTCCATGAAGATATAAAACGTCATTCTTTACTAACACTGACATAAGACGAGGGATTATAGATGAGCACAGGCCCGGTCGTGACCGCTGTCTTGGTAAATGTGTAACCCGATTCATCCAACTTCTCTTCATTCATGATTAATCAACTAATTGATATGATTGAAATGGAAATATGAACGGAAGTGAGACAAATCAGACTACACATTTGCCAAGACAGTGGTCGGCCGGGCCCGCTGCTTATCCATAGGCCCTATCGTCTCGTGATACTAATCACTTCGAAAAAGCTCCATGCTATGGACAGACCTTACTTGCAAATTATTTTAAGGGAAAAATAATAACGTTCAAGCCAAATGTAGCTACACTAAGACTTTTTTTTAAATCACCTTGTCCATCTGCGCGAGGATGCCGTCCTGGCTGCTCTGCCTCGTCTCCCTGAGGACCTTGTTGGCCTGCGACGTGATGTGGTCTAGGATCGAGCTCTGCGACCCCTGCCGCTGCACCTGCGGCTGGCCGGGGGAGCCCGGGGAGCCCGGCGTGTGGTGTTGCCCCGCCGTCGGCGAGCCGAAGCTGGACGTGCGCGCCAGGACGTTGCCGATGCTGGGCTGCCGAGACAGGATGGGGTTCGGGCTCATGGGCACCTGGGGGAGCACAGGGCAGTTGTAAGAGTGACACTGTCACAGAAACAAAACCTGAGGTGAAAGACGGGGTAAGTTACTTACGGGAGCACGAGGGACTCGTGACATTTTGGGCGTGGACGGTTTGTTGGACTGCTGTTGAGGTCCGTCGCCTGCATCGCTGCTCTCCTGGATGTAAAACATGCATCGATTAAGAAAATGAAAAGGGGGCGGATGGCTGAGCTGAACTGTCCGGGTGTTGCGGCGTGCCTACCCTTCTGGCAGCCTCGTTGGCGCTCTCCCGCCGCGGCCCTGGTGACGGCCGGTGGCGTTCGGGTGAGCTGAGGTCGCTGTCGGACGAGTCCTCGTCGTCATCGTCGTCGTCCGGGCCGCCAGAGTCCTCGTCGCCGGCGGCCGCCACCGCCTCCGGGGCCGCGCTGTGCTCCTCGCCCGCGCCCGGGTACTGCAGGGCGTCGGGCGGGTGGTACACCGTGTGCGGGTCCAGTCCGCTTGACATGGACAACGGCATGGGTTGCGGCTGGTACCCGGGCGAGACATCCGAGGACACCATCTCCGACACCAGGTCGCTGAGGGAAGAGTACGACGAGCTGGTGCTCTCCGCGCCCTCCGAGTCGGAACCGCTCTCATCTGAAACGACGAGGACGAGGCGTTTTTGGTTAGAGCCGCCAGTGGACGCCTGGGGGGTAGGCAGTCCCGCCGCGCTCGGGCGTCCAGCGGAGCCGAGGTTGCCTAGCCGTCGGGCGCTCCACCCTCGCTGCACTTGCCTGTGGGCTGCTCCTGGCGCCGCATGGCCTTGAGCGCGCCGCTGAGGGAGCTTCCCTCGTCCCAGACGGTGAAGTGGACGGGCTCCAGGGTGTGGGCGAACCACTTGGCCTTGTCGCCCACCTGCTGGGGGTCGACCACCCCCGTGTGCACGCGCAGGAAGGCGACGTTGGACGGCGTGAGCGCCCACTCGGCCAGGAACTCGACGGCCTGCGTGCGCGCGAACCGGTCCAAGAACACCGAGTTGCGCGGCCGCGACCTGAGGAAGCTGTTGATCTGGAAGGCGACGACGGGCCGCGGGTACAGCCTCAGCGTGCGCGTGTGCTCGGTGAAGTTGGCCAGCAGGTTCTGCGAGTTGAAGAAGCGAACCTGCGCCGCAGAGGAGGAGACGTCGAACACGGTTAGAGTCGCCCGTTGCGCGGGGAGTCGGGGTGTAGTAGCAGTCAGTCTGTCCGACACACTTACAAAGGCGACGCGCGTGGCCACGTCCACCGAGTCCACGTCGTTGCCGAAGATGAAGGGGTTCATGTTGGCGAGAGCGGTCGCCGCCTGCGGCGCGGCAATCCCCGTGCCCGTTATGAGCTGCATGGAGCCGCGCTGGCTGCCGGGGGCGCTGCTGGGGCTGCGGGCAGAGCGTCGTCAGCACGGTGCTCACAAGGGAACCCCGCCAAGTGTAAATTCCCGATTTTTATTCTACTTTGGGAAATTGTTGGTCTAAATATGTCATCGAAGGACACATCAAAGATTTTTGCTTAAATTCATATTTAGGGGTCATTTTGGGTATTTGTTCAAAAAGCTGCTTTTTCAATTATTTTTTATAACTTTCAAGAATGTTTCCTAAGGGGTAACTCGTCAAATTGCGGCCCTTTGGGCGAAAATTTCGTCCGTTTTGCTCTATCTGAAACCGTTTAGGCGCTACCGCCACGTTTACGAGGGGAAATGTGTGGGAATCACTGGGGCTTAAGAGCAGCGGTTGTAAAAAGCAGTCCCACAAAAAATGTTATAAAACAAAAGTTGTGGAAAAATGTAAGCTCTTTAATTTTTGTTTTATAATATTTTTTGTGGGACTGCTTTTTACAACCGCTGCTCTTAAGCCCCAGTGATTCCCGTACATTTCCCCTCGTAAACGTGGCGGTAGCGCCTAAACGGCTTCAGATAGAGCAAAACGGACGAAATTTTCGCCCATAGGGCCGCAATTTGACGAGTTACCCCTTAGGAAGCATTCTTAAAAGTTATAAAAAATAATTGAAAAAGCAGCTTTTTGAACAAATACCCAAATAAATGACCCCTAAATATGAATTTAAGCAAAAATCTTTGATGTGTCCTTCGATGACATATTTAGACCAACACTTTTCCAAAGTAGAATGAAAATCGGGAATTTACACTTGGCGGGGTTCCCTTGTCAGTGGGACCGATGGGATGGGGCCTGCGGTGAGTACTTACTAGTGCCCCATGCTCGGCCGTCTGCCCGGGTTGCCGGACGGCGTTCCCAGCGCCGAGGACGGCGAGGTGGTCACGGGGGTGGGCGTGGAGGCGGACAGGTTCGGCGCCGAGTGCACTGGGGCCGCCGGGGGCCCCGACACGGACAGGCTGTTGAGTGCCTGGAGGGCGACAGGGTGGCGTCAGCACATCGTCACTCAGTAGATAATGTCGTGAGCGAGTCATTTTATCGGGTAATTAGACGAGTGCGAAAAGTCTCTACAAGTGTAACACGTCAGTATATTCTACGGAAAACGGTGTGCCATGCTTTCAGCACCCACCTGAGCTTGGTCCATCAGTTGCATTGCCTTTTGGAGGAGAAGCAGCAGAAAAGAGAAGAGTCAATAGAGAGAGCACCAAGAAGAAGAAAAAGAAGGAAAAGATCATAGAAGAAGGGGCACAACAAGGTCTGGCTCTGAAATAGTGGCCATGCATCAATAGAAGCAACCCGACGCAACCAGAATTGGCTGCTATGTGTGGCTTTTCGCAAAGTTGTGAAGAAACATGTGCTGATAGTAGAATAAAGTAGTCACAAACAAGTAGTAACATGCAAAATATGGCAATTATACAAGTTGGTGAAAGCTTATGTATGTATGACGTTAAAATTTTAATCATTATTATTATAATACCTGCTTAAGATGGTTTTTGAGTATTGTTCCTTCCGGTTCAGGTAACGGTGGTACTTCATCACTCCCCGAAGGGAAATTCAGTCTATTTGAATCGAGATCTACCAACCAGATATCGTCTGGAAGGCTGCAACGAATGTGTGCATTGGTTGAATGGTATTATGATTTTGTACAAAATTTCGAAAGAAAAATTTATAACGGGGTACAGAAAAGACATTTACCTGAAGTTCTTCTTCAACATGAGGAAGCTCGTTGGAATACCTATCACAAACGGAGTCGGAGTCAGCAATAGCTGCTCCGCTCCGCACATACACGTAGGCAGCAGGGGGATAACGGGGAACATGTACTCCAGAGGGTAGAGCATGGCCACGAACGCCATCACAGACATGGACAGAGCGTTGTAGTCCTTGGACTGCACCAGGACCTGGAAGCAAAACACGCGAGTGAGTAACATGTCCGTCGAGCTCGGGGTATAACAAAGGGAGAAGAATGAAGGGGACACTCACCTTGTGCTCCAGCAGGATGAGGGTGAGCACCTTGAGGCACATGTCGACGCCGAGCAGCTCGAGCGGCAGGTGCAGCGGGTAGTCGACGAGCGAGAAGCGCGTGTGGTCGGGCAGGGCGAGCACGCTGCAGGCCACGCCGGCCGCCGCGCCGCACGCCGCGCTCGCCGCCGCCAGCGAGGCCGACAGGATCTCCAGCTCGAGGCGCGTCTTCCCCGGCACGGGCACGGGCGCGCTCAGCAGCCGCAGGATCCAGGTCTCGATGGCGCGCACGTCGTGCAGCACGATGGAAGGGGTGCCGTCGTACGCGCAGCCCGAGAGCACGCTCCATACCGTGTCCCTGCGCACAGATGGAGAGGAGGTAAATTAGCGATTAGCAATTTAAACCAGAACACGATACCTTTTCTTTTTTTAAGGAAAATGGGAAAACTTTGAGGAACTCCCATAGTTTGAGGGAAACTCCCCAGATTTTAAAGATATGAATCAAAAAAATGAGAGAAATTCCCACATTTTTTTAGGAGACTTTCTCAAGATCTGAGTGCCTTTCATCAAGTTATAGGAGTTTCTCCAAATTTCCATTTTTCCTAAAAATAAAAAATAAAAAACACCAAAAAATACATTGTTTTTACTGCGAAAAAAATTGAATGGTGAAATAACATTTTGTGGTTTTCTTTGCCGGATGTTCGTCTCATCTTACCTAGCCTGCTGCCGGTTGGAGGTCCCCACCCTCTTGGGCGAGGTGTCGTCGTTGCAGGCGTCGATGAGCCTCTTGAGGACGAGCAGGCACTCGCGGAAGTACTGGAAGAAGGGGTGGTGCGAGACGAGGCACAGCGAGGTGAGCGAGTGGTTGCGCACGCGGAGGCGGCGCATCGAGGCGCGCGGCGACGGCGAGTGGGAGCCGCCGCTCTCCGAGTCCTGCGCCGCCCCCGGGCCCGCCCCTGCCCCCGGCCCCGCCCCCGGCCCGGGCAGCACCCCGAGGCGGGCCTGGGCCTGCTGCTTCTTGAGGCCGGCCGCCGCCGCCGCCCCCGGCTCCGCCTCCTTCCAGCTGGGCGCCTCGCGGTCCGAGTCGCTGGGCGCCACGTTACTGCTCCGGTAGTCGCTGCAATCGTGGGACCTAAAGGTTACCGTCGCGACGCGTCGCGGGGTTGGACTGGAGTCTCCCGTCCACCCCGACAAACAAATCTCGTGAGACACCCAAACCACCCCAAACCCATGGGGTTCAGTGATTTCCCATTGGGTGTCCCACAAGATTTCTGGCCGTTCGTTCCCCAATCTATGGCGCCCTACGGTGTTCGCCGATTGGGTATTCCTCATTCGGACCCCAGAAACACAGAACCAGTCACAGTTGAGACTACGGGTCGAGAGAGATACGGTAGGGACACTGGGCCATTCCTGTCCACGGGTCTGTCCGGGTATTCCCTGTCAGTATCAGCGACGTAGCAGAACATGAAGCCGACTAGTGTGCATTTTTCTTCTGTGGCCGCACTCAGAAAACGGTTTCTATGATTCATTTGCAAATCCATTGAAAGGTTCACATATGAAAGGTTATTTTTAGTGGGGATCGCTGTGCTTTGATTGGCTTTTCTTTTTAGTCAATTTTGATCAACTTCGAGAATTCAATGAAATTTTCATTAAAAAA